GTCAGCTAGGCTCTTTGATAGACCAACCAGACAATCAAAATATTAAAACTCTGTTGGCTAGTAATAAATTTACACTTAAAAAAACCCCCAGTTTCCTTTTGCTTAAGAATTTTCCAGTTATATTTATATTGTTACAGTTGATGAAGCTGCTCGTGATAGTTCCAGTAAATCACCCTTCAACTTATGTGTTTGGGGAAAGATCAGCACATTAACAAAAATTAATAAAAGGATTGCCACCACAGTGGTTTTCCAGTTACACCACCACAGCTTCACAAATGGGTAAATCCAGTGGCTGAGAAAGATCCACATATCAAATGTTGAGCACATTGGGGAAGAGAGGGACAAGTCCTGCATCAATGAATGAGAAATGATGGGCAAGGGCATGAAACAGATGAGAGCACACTTTATACAGCACTAGAAAATGTTCCCCACACTCAGCTCTCATTCCCATTCCTGTAGGTAACGAAGCTGGGAATCACGGCTGCTCAGTTTAATGTATTGTGGGAATTGGGTAGAACAACCTCTTAATACAAAAGATTGAGGTCTGTTCACCTCTTTGATCAGAGCACCCTAAAGGTGGGCACTTCTTTGTGGTTATGGGCCAGTTAGCTATCCAGTTAAAGCATGTGCAAAACAGAGGACTCTTCTGTTCACAGTAAATGAGGTAAGATCGCGTTGTTGTCTTCAGGAATTAGGAAGTTCGTGAGATATAAACTGTTTTAGTCTTTCCAGGTATTGTGCATAAAGCTCTATGTCATTATGCCCAGCTCCCTCTACCCAGAGAGGCTCCACGGCTCGGGGGCAGCGCTCATACATCGCCAGGCCATGGGAGAAGTCGATGACCTCATCTTCTGTACCATGAATGACCAACACAGGAGATGTGACTTTAGATATCTTGTCAATGCTGCAAAACAGAGGGGAAAGGAGAAATAGGCTCCTTTTAGTTATGCTCACATCACCAAAGATGAGGAAGTTAACAATGGGTTTGTTTTTTTTTTTCAATTAAAGACTTGGTTTTTTTAAGCGCAGTCTTAGGTTCACAGCAAAAATGAGAGGAAGTTATAAATATTCCCGTGTATCCTCTGGCCCAAGACATGCATGGCCTTCTCCATTATCAACAACCCTACCAGAGTAATCCAACTCTTACAGTTAATGAACCTACATGGATACACCATGATGATTTGGCTTCCTCTGCCATTTTTCTGTATTTATTTTTTTCTTTTTTTAATATAACTTCATTTTGGATATACAGGAAAGGTGTAAAGGTAATACAGGGTTTCTACATGCTCTTAATCCACTTCCTATAAGGTTAAAGACATACATTGCCATGGTACATTTGTCAAAACTAAAAAACTAATTTGGATACATTAGCATTAACTAAAAACTTCAGAATTCATGTGAATTTCACTAGTTTTTCTACTAATGTCTCTTTTCTGTTCCAGGATCCAATCAAGAATACCACATTGCATTTAGCTATTGTGTTTTTGTTAAAGTATTTTATTAAAAACAGAACTCCTAAAAGCATCAGACCAATAAATCAGTAACTAATATTTTTGATATATTCATGTTTTCAGAAAGAATTTTAAAAAATAAAAATAAACAGGCCAGCCCTTGACATATCTTGATCCACTGCCTCTCAAGTTCTCAGAAACCATTTTTTAAGAACACTGATTAACAAGATGTAGAACTACATTTCATAAAAGCTAAGGTATCAGTTTTTGATAAAAATTATACTATTCAGATTGAAAGCTTAACATGATTTAGATTTGATTTCAAATAACTTCTGAATGTTTATACAAATCAAATGTATTCTCAAAGAATGAATATTTAAGGATCTTCAAAGGAATGTGCTCCGGGCTCTAAAGCATATCTCAAGGAGGGACGCGAAGGACTAACAGTGTTTGTTTGACTAGGAGTCTGGGGGGCTTCTCTGATGCGGGTAATATTCATTTAACCTACAAATGAATCAAAAGCAATGAATCTTTCTCCAGTTTGTTCTCCCACTAAAGACCCTCTTATTTTTACTCTCTTTCCATGTCTGAGCCTAATCAAAGTTATATAAGGATAAAAATTGGTATTATTTGGGGCTGGGGTTGTGGCTCAGTGGTAGAACACCTGCCTAGCACGCGTGAGGCACTGGGTTTGATCCTCAGCACCACATAAAAAATAAATAAATAAATAAAGATATTGTATTCATAAAAATATATATATTAAGAAAAAAAGAATCGGTACTATTTGTGGGAATCTTTTTTTAAAATGTTTTTATTTGTGCATTATAATTATATATAATAGTATAGTTCCCTGTGACATATTTATATATGCATATAAGTTGCCCCAATCCATTCCCCAGTACCTCCCCTTCTCTCCCATCCCCTCCACTGATGCCCTTCCTCTACTAGTTTTTCTTCTATTTATGTAAATATAAATGTACACATATATTTTTTGCACTGGAGATTGAACCTAAAGGGTGCATTACCACTGAGCTACATCCCCAGCCCTTTTTATTTTTTGAAAAAGGGTCTCCCTTAGTTGCCCAGTCTGGCCTTAAACTTGTGATCATCCTGCCTCAGCCTCTTGAGTCACTGGTATTACAGGCATGTGCCGCACTGCCTGGCTATCTATATTAAATAATATTTATGATAATGGCTGTATCATCATTATACATAAAGATGGGATTGTCCTATATTCATACATACATATTGCATAATTGGATCAATTTCATTTCTCAATTTCTTCTGTTTCCTTCTTTTTGATCCCCTACCTCTTCTCTACTCATCTCCTTTCTATTTTCACAAGATCCCGTGGAAGTCTGGTTAAAAGTAACAGCTAACACTTATTAAACATTTACTATAACAGAGTGTTTTGTACTTTACACACAATCTCATTTAATCCTCAATGAAACATGATGAGAGAGGAGTGACCAGCTCCAGTTTATCAAGGAGGGAACTGAGGCTCAGAGAGCTTATTAAATAACAGGCATGAAGCTGTGGAGATAATTAAAAGTTCGAACATCAAGTACACATTACAAAGGTCTATGAAGAATTGTCACAGTCTTTATTATTAACAACTCATGAAGCTGCCAACCACTTCAAGGTATCCCAGAAATATTGCAAAAGCTCATCAGTTATGTCATTTGCAAAGATCAAAACCTCAGTGGCAGTATTTAATTGTATATTAGGAATCTTATTTGGAAACCTACTTTCCCCCTTTATGAAATTTAAAAGTGACCTCCTTTAAGAGAGTTCAACTATATTCAATTAAAAAGACATTTACTCAATGGTTTCAGTGGTTACGAAGGGCCTAGGACTATGCCCCATGCTGCACTCCTTAGGGGAATCTCTTCTGTCTGAAGAATGTACTGAAGTTTAATGCCATGCTCTTACCCTAAATGTAAAAGAGATGAAAGGAAAAAAAAAATACAAAGCCGGGTGGGGTGGTGTACACCTGTAATCCCAGCAGTTTAGGGGGCTAAGGCAGGAGGATGGCAAATTCAAAGCCAGCCTCAGAAAAAATGAGGTGCTAAGCAACCAACCCAGTGAGACCCTGTCTCAAAATAAAATACAAAATAGGGCTGGAGATGTGACTCAGTGATTGAGTGCCCCTGAGTTCAAGTCCCAGTACGAGAGAGAGAGAGAGAGAGAGAGAGAGAGAGAGAGAGAGAGARAGARAGAGAGAGARAGAGAGAGAAAGAAAGAAAGAAATTTGTGATTGCAAGGATTTTCTTGCCTCAGCCTCTTGAGTAGCTGGATTACAAATGTGTGACACCATATCTGGGTATTTTGTTTTTTTAGTTAAATAAATAAACACACACACACACACACACACACAGTTAGACACAATACCTTTATTTTATTTATTTATCTATTTATTTATTTATTCATTCATATGTGGTGCTGAGGATCGAACCYAGTGCCTCGCACATGAGAGGCGAGCACTCTAACCGTTGAGCCACAACCCCAGCCCTAGTATTTTTTTTTTTAATACCAAAAAGGAAATATGAAAGTATCATCTTTTGAGGAGTGGAACATGAGTGGAACATAAACAGAAATAATTCTGCCACTGGGTAGCAGTGGACACCGGAAGAAAATGTTTACCAAATTTCAATTAATGATTAAAGTTCATGCAACCATTAGTGGTTTGAAATTTATCATATTAATAATTTATGGCACTGAGTATAAAAAAATTGATTCATTTTGTTGTCTCCAATCACCAACCTTAAGTAAGCAAATTACTTAAACTCTAAACTTCAATTTCTTGATCTGCAAAATGAGTACAGTAACTGGATCAACTTCTTAAGGCTGCCATGAAGATTGAAGGGAAAAATGAACTTAAAACTCACAGCCCAATGACTGGTAAAACAGAAAAACTCAGTCTAATTTGTTGATTTTTTATTAATCAATAAGTTGCAATTAGTCCTGGCTGCACTTTAAGGTATAGGCTAATTTAGAAGCCAGGGAAAAAAACTATTCATTATGTTGCCGGGGTAACTCCTGGCACTGCTTTCTATAAACATGCGGAAATATGTGTCTTTTAACAAACTGGTCTCTCATTACTGATTCAGCACAAATAAGGACACATTTGAGACATATATTAGCCCTACTTAGCATTCCTGGCCACACTATTAGAAATCCACTTTCCCATGAGGCTGAGTTTCACTGAGTCCTGGGGTAAACTGCATAGAACTGAAGTTCACACAAGGTGTGAACAGTGGGTTGCTCCTGTGAGACCAGACAGTCTGTGCAGCACATGTTCATGCAGCCAAATAATGCCCACCTACACCCAGTAATAGCAGAATGACAGCAATTAATAGGTCAATCAAAGTTCTAAAACTGTATTACTTCTTCAGAGACTTTTCCTATAAAATGGTAGTATGTGTTAGCCAGCTTGCTGTAACAATCTCAGGATACTTTAACAACATACTGTGAAACAAGTTTAGGGGGCAAACATGTTCTATTAAAAAACAGAAACGGAGGTCTGGGGATATAGCTCAGTTGGTAGAGTGCTTGCCTACTGGGTTCAATCCTGAGTTCAATCCCAGCAAAGTCCTGGGTTCAATCCCCAGCACCACCAAAAACAAACAAACAAACAAACAAAAACAGAAATAGGAATTTTCAAACAGAGGTATTCAAGAACCAATGTGCTCATTGCTTTTGTGTTTGCAGTATATTTTTCCTCCTTCTATCAGTAGGAACTAGAAAATAGCAGGAATTAGGTTAGCAGTGCTCTGCCACCTCTAAAAGACTGGCAGGGGAGCCCACAGCTTTTGTTCTTATACTTCCCCTGGTGGGTGCACCTCTGCAGGACAATGCCTCCTACTAAAAATGAGAGAGCAGAGGAAAAAGTGGTGGTGGTTTTTTCACTTTTACAGTCCCTGAGGACAGTTACCACAAATCAAAACATGGCTTGCAAGTGATCCATTTTATCTTTTTTTTTGGTATTAAGGATTGAACTCAGGTTCTCATGCATATTAGGCAAGGGTTCTACCACCGAGCTACATCCCCAACACTTTTAATTTTATTTTGAGAAAGGGTCTTGCTAAATTGCTGAGGCTGGCTTTGAACTTGTGATCCTCCTGCCTTAACTTCCTGGGATTATAGGCATGTACCACTGCTCCTAGCCCAAACTTTTAATTCTATTTACAAAGATTAACCAAGCATGTCACCTTTCCTTTACCTGTACTGTATAACTGGAAAAGAGAAATTTCAAACTTGAGTTTACTTGTCATTTTATTTGAGTACCCATCCAAACAATTGCTAATTGCTTCTTCATTCTTTCTGCATGTGGCTTCCTCCAGATGAACAAATGCTGAACTATAAGTTCCTTTGGGGATATGTGGGTGCTATTTTTATTTTATGTGGTACAGCTTTATCTATTAATCCTAGGTATCAGCATATTCAAGGTCCTTATACATCCTCTGGGAGATTTTCATAAATTAGGTAGGCCCTAGAGGATAAAGTCTCTATGGTATATGTGTCATAGTTGCCTCATATCTCCAGCACAGGGCCCAATGTGTGGATATATTTAGTAAATACCTGGCAGTTTCACTGTTAATGGCAGTATCAATGTGAGATTGGGTTGTTGGCCAAGTTCACGCTTGTACTAATGTGAGCTCACCTGGGGAACGCATCAAAGCAGTAGGTTTTTCTGGTATCCGGAAAAGCCACACGCAGACCAGACATCAGAGGGGAGTGGAGAATGACAGCAGCACACTCATACCGTGAGGCCAAGTCTACAGTGGGGACAGTCCCAATGCTCTGACCGTAGAGGATAATGTTCTCTGGACTTACGCCATACCTGGGGAAATCAGAGGTGCGTGCCATTAGCTAATGCAGGAAGAGAGAGAGGAGATAGTGAGACAGAATCTTAAACCCGTAAAACTTCCACAGCTACCAGCTTAAAACCATATCATCTAACTTATATGCTTTAGATTAAAACGAACATGAACTTTGAGCTGAGCTACAACTCAGTGGCAGAGCGCTTGCCTTGCATGTGTGAGGCACAGGGTTTGATCCTCAGCACCACATAAAAATAAACCAACAAAATAAAGGCATGCTGTCCAACTTAAAAAAAAGAAAACCATGAACTTGATTAAAAAAGAAAAGTTGGAGGCTTTTTTTTTTCCAGTACTGAGCGACTAAGATTCTGTCTTCTGCAATAGTTTGCAAAAATAACAAACATAGCTCTTTCCGCCATCTTGGAGCCTGTGAAGGCCTGCAGGGAACAGCAATTCTAAAAGGCTGTGGTGCAAAGCCATTTTTGCTGGCTATAAGCAGGGTTTCCAGAACCAAAGTGAGCACAAAGCTCTTCTAAAAATTGAACTTTTTTATACCAGAGATGAAGCCAAGTTCTGCTTGGGCAAAAGATGTGCTTATGTGTACAAAGCAAAAAACAACACAGTGACTYCTGGTGGCAAACCAAACAAAACCAGAGTAATCTGGGGAAAGGTAACTTGTGCCCATGGAAACAGTGGCATGGTTCGGGCCAAATTCTGAAGCAACCTTCCTGCTAAGGCCATTGGACACAGAATCCATGTGATGCTGTACCCCTTAAACATTTGAACAATGGAAAATAAATAAAGATGGATTTTTTTTTAATGTAACTTTTATCCCCTGGCAAATTAACTAAATTAATGCATCAGAAATTTCAGCTTCTACATAGTCATCCTATTTCCCTTTTTTTTTTTTTTGATACCAGGGATTGAACTCAGGGGCACTTAACCACTGAGCCACATTCCCAGCTCTTTTTATTTTTTTTCTTGAGACAGGGTCTCACTAAGTTTTTTAAGCCCTCACTAAATCTCTGAGCTGCCCTGAAACATAAGGTCCTCCTGCCTCAGCCTCCTGAGACTCCGGGATTACAGGTGTATACCACCATGCCYGGCTTATTTCCTAACATTCCTTCTTTATATTTCCTTTGATAATTATAAACACACTTTTTTGTTGTTGTAGTTGTTGTTGTTTGGTACTGGGGATTGAACTCAGAGCCACATCCCCAGCCCTATTTTTGTATTTTATTGAGAGTCAGGGTCTCATTGAGTTGCTTAGCACCTCGCTTTTGCTGAGGCTGGCTTTGAACTCAAGATTCTCCTGTCTCAGCCTTCTGAGCTACTGGGATTACAGACGTGTTCCACAACACCTGGCAATAAACGCATTTCTGAAGTAAAAATGAAAATAGGCTTGCAAATTATAATATTAAGAGCTCTGCAGGTGAAGTTTTAATGATACGAAGGGTATAAGTATCAGAAAAAGGTTTACTGAGACAAAATTAATTTGAAGACAACTGTATTTCTTTATTCTCTTCTCAATGGCTAAACCTTTCCAAGTCTTTCAACCCATCAGCGGTCCCTGAATTCATTCTCTTCAATTTTCAGTGGGGTAAAGGCCTGTGTAGAATACAGACTATACCTCCCAGCCTCCTTTGCAGCTTGGTTTGGCCAGAGACCAATAGACAATAGGATGTGGACAGAAGTGAGGTGAGCAACCTCCAGGTCATAGCTTAGAGGGAAAAGTGTGCTTCCCATTTCCTTTCCCTTCCTGTGCATGAGAAGCAGATGTCATAGTAAAGATGGAGAAGAAGGCAACACCCTAGGTATGGTGGCGGAACAAAACTGAAGAAGTCCAGGAAAATGTGTTTCCTCTAACTAACCTACAAAGGATAGCCACAATCTATAAAAAAGCCCTACACATGAAAAAGACAAAAGTGGCAAAAGGAATGAAGATGTGGGACATAGGAGGAAACACACGCCTGACACACACACAAAGATGTGATGGCTTCATTGTGTCAGACTGTGAAGATGCAAATTAAAGGCAGGAGTGATTATTTTACACCCAAGAGATAAAAATGAAAACATCAAGGAATGACAAGTTCACGGAACAGTGGAACTCCTTGCTGGGTGTAAATTGGTATAAGCACTTGGGAAAACAATTTGTTATTATTTGGTAAAGTTGAAGCAATCCACAGTAGATTCCCAGCAGCCCAAAGTGGAATCCAACAATCCTACTTTTCAGAATAAATACCAACTACAGTTTCTAAGGTGATATGAAATGCTTTCTGATAAGAGACTTCAGTGAGAAGAACTATCAATCCACAGCTGAAGAGGATGACAGGATTCTAGCCCCACCTTTTCCACCTCAAGCTCTAGGAAAACACCACAGGAAAATAAGGGGCCTAAAGAAGGAATCTGGGGAGGGAGCAGCTACTTCTGGTTTGGCAAGTCTTGGGATGCATTTTACAGAGAATTAACATCTGGGCTATGCCAGGGCAGGACTGAAACACAAGGAAATACAAAGGCCTGGGGGGTGGGGTAGGGGGTTATATGGTTGGGAGGAACTTAAAGGGAAGTTATAGGCTGGAACCTGTCCTGAGGTGAGGGCCACTGGAGTATCAAAGGGCGAGGTGACAAGAACAAACTTGTGCTTTGGGAGGATTCTCTTTCCCAAGACAAGAAGAGAGATGACAGAGGCATGAAAAGGAAACAAGGAGATCAATTAAGGGACTGTGAGGGATCCTACAGGGAGGAGGACACAAAAGATTTTTAGAATTTTTTAAAAAATAGACTCTACCCTCTATTTTCTAAAGTGAAGTGTCTGTGTGGCCCAGATCCCTGGAACTTGACACCTTCTAATACAACTGCCCAAGCAGAAGTGTGCTGGAAGCAGGTCTCGCCCACTGTTCTCCCTTGGGGCTTCCTTCCCAGTGAAGAACAAGTTTATTAAATGGACACAGGAGCCTTGATGGTGAGGAGTGAGTGGGGAATTGATAGCAGCAGCATCCTGTGCCCAAAATCTATGTTAGAGACCAAGATTTTAAAAGCACAGCCATGCTCAGGAAATTATTTAGCTTTTGGCTAAATGGAAATTATTCCAGGAGCCTCCCCCAGTGCAACTGCCACCAAAGCCGTACATTAATTTCTAATTTTAACCTGGAGTTTAGGAATCTCTTGGGGAGAGCAAGTCCCCTCACAGTCTTCAGATTTTCAGAGTAGCCTATGTCTGCCTAAAGCATAAGGGCCACTGGATACTGATGGAGGATAATCAGGTGCCTTTCCACATCTGGGGTGAGGACCCATTCCATAACTGCCACTCCTATTACAGGACATCTTACTATCAGCTGTAGAAAATAAATTGTAAATTAAATAAAATGAAGGGGGAAAGAAAAGAAAGGGGGAAATGACAACTGAAGGCAGTTAATGAATGAAGAAACAAAAAATTAAGAGGGGGCTGGGGATGTGGCTCAAGCGGTAGCACGCTCGCCTGGCATGCGTGGGGCCCTGGGTTCATTCCTCAGCACCACATAAAAATAAAATGAAGATGTTGTATCCACCGAAAACTAAAAAATAAATATTAAAAAAGAGATGGTTAATATTAAAAAGCAAGAATAGGGGGCTGGGATTGTGGCTCAGTGGTAAAGTGCTGGCCTAGCATGCACAAGGCATGGGGTTCGATCCTCAGCATCACATAAATGTAAAATAAAGATATTGTGTTCACCTAAAACTTAAAAAAAATTATATAAAAAAAATCAAGAATAAAGTAAGTGACTGCCAAGATGGCATCAGACTAACCTTTACTGATCAAATCTGAGGAATTATGAGGGTTGTAGACAATCATGGTTTTATGACAGTTATGAGGAAATGTTCATTCCACTTTTTATTAAGTCAAATGTGTTCTTTCAAAATCCTGGCTCTTCTACACTCTATGTCATGGGACTTTATGAGCTCAGGGGTTATAGTGAATGAATAAGCTCAGGGAGAAGTGAACAAAGATGAAAGATGCAAGCTTGCCAGGTGGGGCAGAGATGAATGTTGTGGTTACCTGCCAGGCAGCTTTTTCTCTTCTGAGTGTCGCGAACCATCCATCCTCAGAGATCTCAATCTCCTTTTTGTGTGTGTGTGATGATGGTGGCACTGGGAATTTAACTCAGTGTACACTAACACTGAACTACATCCCCAGCCTTTTTATTTTGAACAAGGTCTCACTAAGTTGCCCAGGCTGGCCTCAAACTTGCAATCTTCCTGCCTCAGCTTCCAGAGTCTCTGGGATGATAGGCGTGCACTATCACACCCAGCCCTTATCGCTTTCCGGTGTCTAATGGAGAAGTTGGAACTATATCACCTAAGGACTCACAGCTCTAAAACTTCTGTTTATGGGCCCCAGGAAGCGCCATCTTTATAAATTCTATTTTGAGTTCCATCAGATGCATATCCTTCATGACAGTCAATGCTCCATGAGTCAAAGTTTTTACTTTAATTTTACCAGGCAAAACACAGAACACCAAGCCATTAAGGAAACAAAGAGAGAGAAAATGTATTACATTAAAATCAAGAACTTCTGGTCATTGTATCACATCATTAAAAAAGTACAAGTGGGGGCTGGGGATGTGGCTCAAGAGGTAGCGCGCTCGCCTGGCATGCGTGCGGCCCAGGTTCGATCCTCAGCACCACATACCAACAAAGATGTTGTGTCCGCCAATAACTGAAAAATAAATGTTAAAGTTTCTCTCTCCCTCTCTCTCTGCCTCTCTCTCTCTTTAAAAAAAAAAAAAAAAAAGTACAAGTGGAAGACACCTAGTGAGAAAGGGCATTTGCCACATATATAACCAACAGAGGACTTAAGAACTACTAATCAACAAGGAAAACAACCAAAAAAGGAATGGAATTTTACAAAATGAACATTTCATAAAAGAAATCCAGAGGGTCAAGAGAGACAGACAGACAGATTCAACTTCATTAGTTTAAAAAAAAAAAAAAGAAAGAAAGAAAGAAAGAAAGAAAAAGAAATACAAACTAAAGTCATAAT